CCACCCACACCCACACCCACACCCACACCCACACCCACACCCACACCCACACCCACACCCACCACACCCTGTTGGCAAGAAGGCTGAGTATTGTCCGGGACTGCTTATTTGAGCAATTGCTTGGTCTTATTCGCAGCTAACCATTATACTAATGGCCGTTCCACTATCCGCAACCTGTGGACCCGCTTGGTAGCATCCAGCTTAGCCCCAAGGTTTTAGGGTAATATCCACCAAATAAGGATCAAAAATAGTTCATTTGGTCTCCAAAAATTCTCTATGGGTTTTCATTCTATATATTTAATTTTTTTTTGTTTGAAAGAGCATGTCCAAATCAGGCTTGCAGATTGGAGGAGGGATGGAGACTTTGTCCCCTAAATTCAGATCTTTAAGGCAAAATTTTTTTCCATTGTATTTCTGCGTTTTTCTGCTGAAAAAGATTTTTCTCTCGCTTTCGTACAACCTACACAAATAAAATATAAGAAGATGGGTGTGAGTGTGGGTGTGGGTCTTTTCTTCACCCATACCTACATCCCATACCCACACTCATCCCACCTCGCCCTTGTTTAATCGTATAACCAACTGCGCCATTTATTTCTGGAAATGGCATTGAGTAAATGTGGCAAACGTGTTTTATTCAGTTGCATAAAATAGTCCTTGTGTTCTTTACAAGCAAATATTAATTACGGTGTGTTTTCCAGGCAATATTACAACACAAAATATTAAGTCGTAATAGTTGTTTTTATTTGATCTAACAGCAATTTCATAGATTGAAAATGCCAAGCAACTTTCTTTTGTCCTCATCTACTTCTGTCTACTCTTTCGTTCGGCCGTATGCTGATGTTGGAAGAAACTGAAGTTTCAAGTGTGCTGCAACTTGTTTAAAAGAAACAAAAACATACAGAGCAACGTGGACGAGCGACGTTTTTTACGCAGCAAATGATTGCAATTGTCAGTCATATTTTACCTTTTCATTTTGTTGACAATAACATCTAAGAGATTGGAAGCGCTGCTTGTAAGTAAGCTAGGTAGTACGCAATATATTGTTTTATTCATTGCCCATTGTTCAACATTTCGTTGAAATCATCAACCAAAAAATAATATGCAACGGACTGTCAGTTGTCATAGTCTTTAATCAAATACGAGTATTGAAGGTAAAGCAATTCTTCGCGAAGAATAAAATAGAAATGAAACTGGGTAAATAATGGGATTTTTATGCCCACAGTATAGCTATCATTACTAGACGTGTAAGCCATCCAGCTACGCCGCCGCCGTCGGAGAATCGTAGATAGTTTTATGAATTTTTTAGCCGCCGCCTCTGTGAAAGGGTGTGGGTGTGTGGGTGTGGGTGTGTGGGTGTGGGTGTGTGGGTGTGGGGTGTGGGTGTGGGGTGTGGGTGTGGGTGTGGGTGATGTAGGGATTTGTGAACAACACACCGCTACCTCCCACCCACACCCACACCCACACCCTTGACAAGAATTCGAAATGAATTGAGGTTTTTCAAGATTGAATTCTTTACTATGCTTTGATTAATTCTACTTTGATATTGGTTTTTTTTAGATTTTTTAGCTAATAAACAAAGTAATAATAAAATACGTTTCTCATATTGAATATCCGAAAGAAAATCAATTGAACATAATGGCCGAAGCAATATCTACAATGTCGAAAAACTCATTAAAATGTGTTGAATGGATGTGGCAGTCAAATCCAGATCCATGGTCAGAGTCTGAGCCAGCCATATGGAATCATTATTCTGATGTCGAAAATATTATTATTGAACGAGCATATTCGAATAAGGAAACACGAGCAATTTTAGATGATTATTATATTGATTTCAAACAAAATCGACAAATGTCGAATACAGATGATAATAAACAAAGACCTGTCAAACGAGTAGTGCGTCAAAGAGAAGATAAACATTTACGAGAAGAACGTTTTGTAGATCTTCCTGTTAGTACAGGACGTTCATTTGGTGGTGAATATGGTTGGGTATCACCATTTATTATCGAAGTTAGAAGAGGTTTGAAACTTGAACCAGAAGAATTACCATCAAAAAGACCAGAAATGATTCCAATACTTATTGAAAAAGCTGCACAAGGTATTATTAAAGAAGGAAAATTTATTCGAAAGGAAGAAGAAGCTAAAGAATTGGCTAATATGCTTCTAGAACAAAAAAATAATGGAATTGAACAAGTATGGCAATGTTGTGCTTACATGTATTCATTAGAAAGTTTTCTTTATAAAACTTTGAATGCAACAATGAGATTAGTTGGAGATAAAGAACATGAACATGTATGGAGAAGTAAAATTCGTACATTAGGTCCTTTTTGTTTGTTGCTTTGGGATGATCCTTGTAATGAAAAACCAAAAACAAAGGAAACACTTTATCGGGGAGCCAATTTAAATATACAACAAATTGCTAAATATGACCAAATGGCTAGAAATCCCGATGAATATGGATCATTTCAAGCGTTTACATCATGTAGTCGTAATCGTCAAAAAGCAGAAGAATTTGGTAATACATTATTTATTATGCAAGTACAAATTGCTTTTACTGCTGATCTCGCCGAATTATCTGAATATCCTTCTGAAGAAGAAGAACTTATTACACCAGGTGTTTCTTTTCGTGTTGCATTAGTTGAATTTGATCGAAAGATAAATAAATATCTGATCTATTTGAAATTACGACAACGATGGTCTAGTAAGTAGAAATAAGTCTTTTTTCTCATAAGGATCTTAATAATATGAAAAATTATTTCTTTCAAATATTTTTTATTCTAATTTTCATATATCTTCTAAAGATTAAATTGAAGTCTAATAGATGAAATAATATTTTCATTATAAAAATATTTTAATTGAAAAAAAATACCAAAATAAAGAAATAATTCAATAGCTGTTTATATATTGATAATAATAGAAATACAAATAAATTAATGATTTACGTAAATTTTTCTATTTTTATTTAGTTTTTTAATATAAAATTCTACAAGTTTAATATTTTCGGTCATTCATTAAATAAATAATACAGTTTGAAATCTATATTAAAAATGATGTGTAAAATATAGTTAAAAGTATCAAATTATTATGTTTTCAATATAATGAAAACTATTCACTTACCAAAGTAAATATTTTAAATATTTTTTTTTTGTTTTGACTTTATTTTTCATTGTGTTGACTTAGAAAAATAAAGGAGATAAGTTAAACATGAGAAAAAAAGAAAATTTAGATCCTCTTCTAAATCATTGATTCTCTATGCTGTTGTGTATTTAGATTAATCAGTTCTCCATATTAATTTTTAATAATATAAAATTTTAAATATAATTTAAATATGTTAGAAGTTTTAGTCTTACAATAATAAATAATTATCTATGAAACAAAAAAAAAACAAATAATATTAAACTCATAGATGATCAAAAAAAAATATTGCGTAAGAGATTATAGTTTATTAGAGACTTTCCTATAAAAAAGTATTCGAATCACCTAGAAGGATAAACATTTATTTAATTAGAATATTTTATTTTATTTTTAATCTAATCAAAATTCTATAACAATGATTGACTTGTCTAGTTTTGAATTCAAATATAAATCGATATGTAAATTATCTATATAGAGACAAGCGAGGCAAATCAAGAGACTCCTTTTTTTGGATTTTTTTTTCTAATTCTCTTTCTTCGTCATTTTAAAAGATAGAAAAACATTTTCTTTACAAACAATATAAATCAAATGTTTTTCTTGAACTTTCTCTTCACCGATTTTCAAAATCTTGTGATAAACAGATTTGACGTTCGTTTTCTTGAAATGCTCAAAACGTTCTCGATCAGTTCTTATTTGAGTCCAATGAAGAATTGTTTATCATCTAGTGAAGCAAATGTATAATAGCAGTTATTTTAATTCGATGTAGTAAAATCAAATTTCCGAGTATATCTCGATTTATATTTGATTTACTCTCGTTACTAAAAATGTTTAGTTCATTGATTTCTACAAAGCTACACTAGTTTTGTCAGTTCAGAACAAGTGAACGACTTACTTTTGATTATAGTTCAGTAAAAAAAACCGTTGGTTTTCGCTCGATCTGAAGATTGTCGATAACCAAATCCAATTATTTATTGTTCTTAAGATTACATGAGCATTTCTTAGCCAAGTCTATGCATATCAAGAAAATTTCTATTAAGTTTTCATAGAGATTAGAAATTATACGAAGAGTAATGAGATTTGTTTAGAAAATCTCAGGTTAAATTTTTAAGAAGAGATGATCGACAGAATGGCTTATACAACGGCTGATACAAGCATTTTGATCAGTATTTAAATTTGAATCTGTTGAGTCATAGTAAGACAATGTTCGTCTATTCATTTTCAATTATCCAAAGTGTCCTATAGTGAAATTGAGTAATTGAAAATTTTTTTACATGTGAGATAGATTTTTAAAAAGTATGAAACGTACTCAGTTGTTTATTTGACTATGTTTTGAGAAGCTTAGGTTTTTTTTTCTCCTGAATATTTATCAGTTGGAATTATTTTCCAAATAAAAGTTTGAAAAAACACTTTAGGAATATTTTATCAATTAGAAAGAACCTTTAATGCAGCAGCAGTTGTTATTGATAAGATGATATCAACATCTCTTAATAATAAAATAATCGGCGATGTTTTTATCTTATTTCTGATGATTACATTGTTTGCTGTTCAAATATTCAGCAATATTTTGCATTTTTTTTTCCAGAAAAAATAAAAAGTTTTTGCAATATAATATGATCATTGCTATGACATATCACAAAATCGATCAATTTCTAAGAAGCTATATAATCTGTTTAATGCAATAAAGCAAATCAAATTATTAATAGATGATTTATTCTGATCATAGACATTGTACTATTAGCATGATTAGAAAACCAGAAAAAAATGAAAGTTGATGTCATGATATTTTGAAATGAGGTCAGAATTGAGCTGACAGCATCTCCTGATCAATCAAGAAAACGTAGTCTAAGTGTGAAGAAGAATAAAAGCTTATCTTTTTATTATTTGTTTCTTAACAATTATAAATGAAAAGATAATTAAAAAGTCACTTATTTCATAAGGTCTTATTTGAACATTTGACAGTTAATTTTAAGTATTTTTTGTTATAATTGAAACATATAGGTAAAATTCTATGTCAAAAGAAGATAAATCGTATATCTTCAAGATAAAACCTAAAATAAGAATTACAAAAATAAATAATGGATCATATCTTCAATTATTTTTTGTTTTTTAAAGTTTTTCATACTGTTTCTTTTTCTAAAATTTGACAGAAAATAAAAAAATCAAGTGTTTATCTTTGATCTTTTTATTAAAAAAAAATCTAATGTCATCTGTTTCTCTTTCACTCAGTTTTCTCAAGCAACGAAATAACAAAACAAAATCGCTCTTAGTGTTTTCTCCGTAAGAAATATAGTAATATTTAGAGCTACTAATGTTGATATTGTGCGAAAGTTTAGCTATTTTTTCAGAAAATGAGAAGATAAATATCTTCAATTCAGAGGTTTAAACTCACTTACAAAATTATTAAACAATGAAACAATTGATATAAGAATAGTATAAGTGAAGCAAAACTTAAGAGAGAGGATCTGCCAGAGCACTAACCAAACTGCCCATTGGTAAAATTTTGATTTTCAATTTAAGTATCTCAAATGATAGATCATCATTCGAAACTTCTAAATCCAAAATATTAACTCTTTCCAGCTTCTTTGTGAAAAATAGCAAAGTATACAAATGACATACCCTTCAACATTTGAAGAAAAATTTGCGATCTTTTGACACTCTTAATATTTAACATTTTTCTTTGCACATGTTCATTCGTTTAAGTTGGAAGATGTGTCGAAAGATGTAGAACTGGTTTTTCTACAAAATTTCCTAAAACAGCAACTTCTAAAATACATTTTGGGGAAATCCGCCGAGTTTCTACCACTTTTCTGGAAAATATTTTTTTTCGGTTTTGCCCTTCTAATTAGGTGTATAATCGTCGAAAACGGTTTGTGAGCAAAAAGAAAAATTTTTTTAATGCTGAAAGTTTGGAGAATTAATCAAGGGGGAACAAGCGGACTTCTGTACTTCCGAAGTACAAAAGTACGGAAAAGTACAGCGAAGTACAGAGAAGTACCAAGAAGTACGAAGAAGTACCAAGAAGTACGAAGAAGTACCAAGAAGTACCAAGAAGTACCAAGAAGTACCAAGAAGTACCATGAAGTACGAAAAAGTACGAAAAAGTACGAAAAAGTACGAAGAAGTACAAAAAAGTACGAAGAAGTACAAGAAGTACAGAGAAGTACACGTTTTCTTCCTCGATTTTTTCCGAAAACAGTACAAAAGTGTTCTGTTATTGGGATATATCAAAAATTCTGTTCGAAAAAAACAGAACATTTTTGTTCTGTTTTTGTCGAACAGAGTTTTTGATATTTGTGAAGAAGTGCCCATGAAAAATAATTTGTATAAAAATGCGTTCCAACGCAAACTTTTAGGAAAAAAGCGCTATTTTTGCGTTTCAGCGCATCCTTTTTAAGTTCAACGCGTTTAAACGCATCTTTTATCTTTTGAACGCGTTTTTTCAACTTAAAACGCAACTTAAAGACACTGTTTGAATGCATTTAGTTTTATGCGTTTGGACGCGTTTGTTCGCTATGCATTCAAATGCGTTTTTAGCCTTCTTCTATTGAAAAACAAGTGTTTTTTGAAACGCGTTACAACGTTGTTCTCTTTGATGCGTTTTTTTCTCGAAAAAATGAATAGTTTAGAAAAGAGTTTGAACGAATGTTTGCATGCATGTGGTTCTAGAAAAGGTGTGCTTATGAGCCAGTCCACGTAAGCCACGATCGACAGTGCTCAATCGGTATCCTCCGATTTAGCTCATTTAAACAAAAGTGATAGAGGAAAGAGTTCGATGAATTTTGGCGAAAGCCGATTCAAAAAATATTGAACTCTCGATTTTTTGTCGAATTTTTACGAAGAGCATTATAAAGCTCCACAATCATCGGTAAAGGATTTTAAGCACATTATATCTCAAGAACGACTCAACCAGTCGAGCTGAAATTTTTTGTAGTTCTATACACCAACAATTTCTACACATAAAAATAATTTCAGCTTGAAGGCTTAAATCCTTGGTTTTTTATGGGATTCACTATTGGAGAAAAAAATCACTATTTTGACCTACTTTGGTAGCTCATATCTCCACACTGGAAAATATTCGCCAAAATTCATCAAACTCTTGCCTCTATCACATATGTTAAAATGAGTCGAATTGGAGGATATCGATTGAGCAGGTCCTATAGTAATCGGTCGTGGCTTATGTGGACTGGCTCTTATATACAATAGAGATCTATGTTAACTAGAATAAATGTTGGGTGACATGAATGTCAACATATGTAAGTTAAAAGGTATAACTGTTCAGAACGACTCTGTGATACAATAAGATAAAAAATATACTCGAATAATGTTGAAAAAGACAGCATGTATTTTATACAAAAGAAAAGCCAACAATTCAAGATAAGTAGTAACGTGTTCTCAAACTAGGCTCACTTAACGTTAGATACCGAATAAAATAAAAGTTTTCAAATTAATAGTAGCATACATTTCCATATTCATATCATTTACATTAACATGAATATGATGATCAAAATCAATTGTCTCAAATTCAACATTATCGCACAAAACTTTTTTTGTAATAAAATTCAGCAATATTTCAT